ATAACTTGCATCCGGGCCATGCTCTGAGCCCCCTCTTTCCTTAGCTCCATTCAGTTAATGCATGGGATATTTATCTGTTCTGTTGGGATATTTACCTGTCCTGGATCAAACCTAACTCTGTGACTACTTACCTTTCCTCATTTTCTTCTGACAGACATCTTCTTCCAAAACATAAAAATCGTGTCCTTCCTCCACACTCTACAACTCGTATTACCCACACCATTTATCCAAGAGCTTAAGTATTCTAAAGGCTTTCGCTCATAGGCCCTTGGCCCACAGTGGGTGAGTCCACATTGGGTCATCCTTACATACCAACAATAACTAAACTTCACAGAGTTGAGACATGGATCCATCTGTCACAACTCAGACAAGCTCTGGACCCCTGGTCTGACAAGTTCACCTGTGGGTTAGCATGACCTCTAAAACTCAAGCTCTTCTGTCTAGTGCCCATCGCTGAGGATGCCCTCCTTCCTCCCACTGATACCCATACTTGTTCTAGTTAAGAATAGCTTCACAAACTGCTCAGACTCATGTCTCAGTTAGATATGGATGGTTTACTGAATAGTGAATGCAACCCAAAGACTGGTCAGACCAGGGGAACAGAAAGGAACTCGGAGCCTAACTGTGACATCTGCAGGTTCTCATAGCTTTTTAGACAAAGAACCAAATGCAATAGACGTGGGGCAGGGGAGGAACACAGTTTGGCTAACTACACAAAGTGCTATCAGCTAACCTTTAAATTGATTACTCCTAAGTGAGGTGAGTGAGGGCAGGGTTTAGGGTCTTCTGGAGCACATCCAAAGTGTAGCGAAGTGTGTAGAAAAGAAGGGTGCAACCAGAGTGTAGCCAAGTGAATAGATGATAATAAAGCACGAGTTATAACACTATTGAACCATAGTAAAATATAAGGTCAGCTCGACCCTCTGGCAGAGTCTGCTAGTGCCAGCTATGAACAACCGCTTCCAGGAAGCAGAGTTCAAAAGTTTAAGATGTTGAACTTAATTTCACCTTAGAAACAAAACGGAAACTAAATACAAAGATGGCTGCAGCTTTGTCTCAAGTAGCAGGCTGCAACTGTTGTGCCAAGTCCACAAGACCCCAAAAGACCACCAACAAGACTAAGAGTCAGAAATTGTATGCAAAAGCAAAGAGCCTTTATTCAGGCTTAAGCTTGGACTCTCAGCATGAGCGGTCACAGCAGTCAGAGGCTAGGAGCCCTGAGCCTAGAAAGAAGCTAGGTTTTATAGGGTTTTTAGCAAGGGGAAGGGACTTCCAGACTTGGCAGTCACATGACTGGGTGACATTTTGCAAGAGCGAGCTTGTTACATAGTAATTGGTTAGAGACAAGCTTCAAACATCTGGAATAATTGTTTTGGTTACCCTAATGACAACGTGTAACTGTTTTAGTAGCCACGAGGACAAAGGTCGTTTTGACCGTTCTGGCTGGTTTCAGGGTTGGCACATTTTGTGGCCATTCTCAGAAATGATAAGGTTTCCTATAAGTATAAACACATTTTTTTTTTCTGAAGCCGGGGTAAGTTTTAGGTCACATATTAGATGGAGGCCAGTGACAAATTGAGTCTTTTATGTTCAGGCTCTTCACAACATACTGTTTGTATAATGACTGCTCCTTGTCTGTTCAAGTTCTTTCAGGGGAAAATTAATGAAATAACCTAATAGTCAGTAAAAGAGATGCTTCTGATGGACTTTTCTCAGGATTCCTACCATTGCCTGCAGGCTTGGGCCCCTGCTTTGGACAAGTATTGAAGACAACTCCTCTTTCCCCCTCCCATCCAGTCCCTACTCAGCTGGGTGTAGCCAGAGGACTACTGTCATCCTTATCTACATATGGCTGGAAAGCAAAGCAAGATCTAAAAATGCCAGTGCTGCTTACAATGTTCTAAGACGATGCATGGGCCCAAACCATGCCAGATTCTTACCAGGTGGAGAGAAGAGTTGTTATCAGATGAGGAGAGACCTAAACTAGGCATTCCCCAGAATTCTCTAAGACAGTAATTCTCAACATTTCTGATGCTATGATCCTCTAATACAGTTCCTTGTGTTGTGGTGATCCCCAAACGTAAAATTATTGTTGTTGCTACTTCAAAACCGTAGTTTTGCAACTATTATGGATTACAATGGAAATATTTGATATTCAAATGGTCTTAGGTGATCCTGTGAAAGGTTGGTTGATCCCTAAAAGGACTGTGACTCACACATAGAACAAGAGTTTCTGTTTGTGAGGACAATAACTACTTCTCTTCTCCACCCCCAACAACAAAGTGTCTCTAGTACCACCCAAATACCACCTCCTGCAGCTACCTGCCCTGCTAAAACTGACAGGATAGACAGACCCAAAGAAGGTAAGTAGTAAGAAGGCACCAATCTCACTCAGAAGAGGAAATAGAATACAGTGGAATGGCTGAAGAAAGCTAACAAGACAGGAGCCTAGCATATCTGTCCTAACATATCTAGGTGAGGCTTCACCCAACAGCAGATCAAAACAGACACTGAGACTTGCAGACAAATATTGGGTTGAAGTGCAGGGAGTCTTGAGGAAAAGTCGGACAAGGATAGAAGAATCTGAAGGTGCCAGGAGCTCCATAAGAAGACCAATAGAGTCAAGTAACGAGGGCCCAGAGGGCTCATGGAAATTGGAGCACCAACCAATGACCATGCATAGCTGGAGTTAGACCCCTTACACAGATGTAGCAGATGGGCGGCTCAGACTTCATGGGGGTTTCTTAGTAAGGGGAACTGGACCGGTCTCTGACATGGGCTCTGTTGCCTGCTTTCGGATCACCCCCTATCATACTCCATGGAGCTGCCTCTCCAGGCCACAGGGAAGAGAATACACTCAGTCCTGAGGTGACTCAATCATCTGAGCTGTGTGCAGAGGGGCTCTCCTTATCTCAGGAATAGGGGAGAGGGGTTGAGGGAGAGAGAGAGAGAGTGAGACTGGGAGGAGAGGAGGGAGGGGGTTAGGATTGGGATGTAAGGTGGATTAAAAAGAAAAAAAAAAGCCTGACAAGACTTTTCCCACCAAGCTGTTCTCTATTCTCTGAAGCAGCTGGACAGTTTATCCAATAATCTCTTCTTTCTACCCATGGAGTGGTCTAGTTTGGTGGTTTCAGTACACCTTGCTTACATTTGCAAGCTTCAGGACCCTGCCTTAGATCCCACGACCCCTGTAAATCAGTCTCAGAGGAACATGCCTGTGATTCCCATGTTTCATCAGCAAGTTGGAAGGCAGAGACAGAGCCCTAGAAGCTCACAGGTCAGCTACTCAGTACATGCAGCCCCCAAACAAGATCCTGCTTTAATCAAGGTGAAAGGCAAAGACTGGAACCCACAGCTTTATAACCTCCAAAAGTTCGCCATGACGCACACACACACATACACAGTATCATAGGAACACAAACATACCACCACTACCCCCTCAAGCACCCCCCCTCTCCCCAACGCCCACATGTACACCCTCACGTGGACCACACCCACACTTGCACCCACACATTCATACACAAAGATGTGATGATAACTACGACCAACACTTGAAACCAAGGAAGAGCAGGAAAAAAAATTGGACACAGGGGTTATGGTTTTCAAAGTTATAGAAATAGATAGACATTAACTGTGACACTCTGGCACAATAGCAGCAGAGAGGAAGACCACCTCATTTTATCTCTGGAAATTAGGAGATGGAAAAGCAAACTCACAAATAAAGGACATGGGGTGGAAACCTGGGTCAGTCAAAGGTGTGTGATAAAAGTGTGTGTGTGTGTGTGTGTGTGTGTGTGTGTGTGTGTGTGTGTGTGCGTGTGCTGATGCCTGCAAAAGCTCACAGGCAAGAGAACACTTCCGAGAGTGGAAATTATTTGACTGTCATTCTCCCATAACAGTCTTAAGCATTATATATCTGAAAAACAATTCTTAATGTATTGAGTTGACACGAAAGAAAACAATGTCTCTTGCTCTATCGTCTTTATAAATGGTGTGGGGGTGAATTTAAAGGTCATTGTAGCCAGTATCACAGGTTGCCATATATTGTGCAGTAGGATGGGAATTAGAATTTCAAGTTTCAGTAGAGGCCTGAAAGAGAATAAAAGGAGAGGCACGCCACAAACCTTCTGCCTCCTGATGGGCTAACTCAAGCTGTTTCTAGTCATTTTAAAGACTTCCATCCTGGCATGAATGCTCTCATTCTGTGTGTCTGCATTCTTGATGTCTGTCATTTTGAAGAAATATTTGAACGGATGATAAATTCATGGGAAGTGAAAGACTCAAAGAACAGCTACGTAAAGTTAGTAGTCCTCTTCTAGCCTACCTAAGATACCCATGGCCACCTCTGCGGTAGTCATGAATACAAGTTTACTTTGCATTTGACTAGACATTGATAATGATACAGCCAAAACCTCACTAGTTTCTTAAGTCAGTGCAGCTCTTACGCAGTGCTGTGTATCGTTCTTCAGCTACGGTCACTCCTGAATGATTTCCCTGTCGGTATGAAGAGTGGTCCCCACTGGTTTGGCTTGATGTAGACCATCCCTCTTCGTTCACGTTCATCAAGAGCCAACAGAGGAGTATGAAAGTTGTCCCAGGCTTTTGACAAGACAATAATCCTGTGGCACACCTATCACTACAGATGTCATTTTCGCTTGGATAAATGAAATGATGTGAGAAATTCCTAGATATGGATCATCCAGGTTAGAACTACATGCATGCTAAATTTTGATCAAGAGTTCCAACACATCCCTCCTCACCACCAAATATGAGACACTGTCTACATTGAGTTCTACCCAACTCCTGTTGTGCCAAATGCTTGCTTCTTTCTTGCTCAAAATACAAATAAAATATGAGCCTCTTCATTATACTTTGCAGGATTTTATATAACCAAAGCATACATTTTTCACATTTACGCCCATTAAAAATGTGGTTGGTAGTCTTTTCTCACCAATGCTTGTGATAAACAACGCACAGAACTGAATTAGGAGCTGCAAACATTTACCTTTTTAACCGTTTTAATTTTTGCAATTACAATTACAACTTTTCTCCCTTTCCTTTCATACCTCCAAACCGTCCCAATAAACCCCACACTAGTCTCTTTCAAATTGATGGCCCTTTTTCATTAATTGTTACAGCATACGTAAATGCATATGCAAATACATATATATATATATATTCTTAAACATAAGGTGCTCAGTCTGTACACGACTGTAACCTGTGTGTATGTTTTCAGGGCTGACCATGTGCTGCTGGACAGTCAGTTGGTGTGCTCTTCCCTGGGGAAGACTATTTCTCCTGCTCGCAGCTTTCCTTAGTTATCTGTCAAGTAGAGATCTAAAAGGCTTGTTCCTATTCACTTCGGCATATTTCTTGTTGTATTGGTCCAGATTGTGTTTAGGCACTAATGTTGGGGAGACTATTTGATATAATGGGTGGACTATTTGACTTTGTACCTTAGCTAAATCATTTTCATGAAGAATTTCTACTTACATAATAAAATTATAGTTGAATTTCTACTTTTTTGGTGGAGGACCTGTTGGTCTCTGACGTCCTTTGATCATTCTTTAATTTGAAACTGCTATTGAATGGATCCTTGATAACATAAGCACTATGAAGGTATATATAACAGTGTTGCAATCACACAGGAGGCCTTAGTACTGTGTTTGACTGGGGTCTTTGCCTGCTACATAATTGCTGAGCATCTTCATCCCTATTTTACACAGCATGGGAAGTGCTTCGGCGAATATATTACCGGCGATATCAAGAATATTTTGAGTTGGGCTGCTTTTCGTGGCTTCAATCTCTTCCTCCATTAGCTTTATTTCTCTTCTTAAATCGTCGAATTTCTCCTCAACTCCTTCAAGAAGTAGTTCTCTTAAGGCCTAACAAAAACAGAGAGTCCATTTTTTCAAGAATATACATTACTTGTAACTCACCCTAACAGCTTTAGCAGCTGAGGGTGTGTATACATGTTCCCTCCATTTATAAAAAAGAGAATTTGACAACTTTTTCCAAAACCTCACGTTGTACCTCAAGAGTGAGCGTAGCCACACTATGGCTGAGATTTGTTGATGATTCTCTCTCCGGGAGGAAGGGGAGTTCACGGCCCTGAAGTTATGGAGTAAAGCACAATGCCCTCTGGGAGGGCCAGGGGTCTAACTCTCATTGAATCTCAGTGTCTTTGCGCTAAGCTGACCCCATTTGTCTAACAAATGGTGGTTACCAGCTGTGGCCTCTGAGAGCAGAGCTGTTAAGCTCTGTGTTGGGAGAGAGACTGCAATGTACTCTAATTCTGCAGCCGGCTCTGGACACATGCTGCAGGGCTCAGAGCTTTGGATTCCTATCCTGACTAATTTGATCACTGAATAGCCTTGATTGTTGTGCCAAGAATCCTTGGAGTAGCAGGCTGAGATCTTTTTCAGGTAGAGTAAAATGAGACTGCTCTAAAGCATTCAAGAGCAGCTCCAGGAGATTATTTTTTCACTCTGACATTCTTTAGTTTACTAACACTACAGAAAGTGATGTGTCCTAAACTTAAGGGCTTCACTGGGATCAAGGTAGAGATGAGGTTTTTCATGATCATTGAGGTTCACTCTAAGATCATGATTTTCTTGACAGTGTCAAACTTTTCTTTCTTGTTGGAAAAGCTGCGGTCTATCACGTAGCCACCCCTGCCATCCTCACCTTCATCTTGTGATCCAGCACCCTCTCCTGCTCTCTCAGATAGTTGTCCTTTTCCCTCTGCATCTTGTTCTCTAGCTGGGAAATGTTTTCTGACAGGCTTCTGATGTGCGCATCCATTGCCTCCTTGTGCTCCTTCTGTTTCTGCATCATTAGCTTCGTCTCCCTCTCAGCCGCTTCCTTCTTGGCCCTCTCCTCTGTCCCACAAAGGTTTTAGAGAAGAAAGAGAGGAGAGTCAGAGCTGAGAGCTACCCTTCTGATCTCAGAGACCAAGCTGATTTCCACATAAGGACTGTCTGCAACTTTCCATCAGCAGGCATTGATTCCATGAGTGATAGAAATGTACTGACTGGCTGGACATGCAGCACCAGCCCCAATCATGGTTTTCAGATCTAGAAGAGGGTGCGGGGGGGCCTCTTTGTTTAGGGATCTTCCTATCCACCAGTCAAGGGCTTTACAGGGACACTTTGACAGCTGAGCCCTCCTCTGTACCTGCCCTGGCTTTCTGTTCATCCGTGAGGGCTTTATCTGACTGCAGGATGGACTCTTCCATCATGAGCTGTGACTTCAGGAAGTTCTGGAAGACCTCACTTGCCTGGATACCAAAAGAGAGAAAGCCTTAAGCAGCAAGGGTGGATTCTTCTAAAGAAGGGTTAGCGTTCAGTGAAACTACTACCTTAACTGCAATATTTGAATCCTGCCTTAGTTCCCACGTGAGTCCTTTAATTCTGTGGCTGGAGCAAAACCTATGCCCTTTGCTGAGATTTAACCACCTCTTGCTAGCTCTGCAGCCTCTTTTCCCAGGAATGTCACCCACTAATCACTCCAGGTAAGAGCCCCATGCAGATATGTGTGCAATTCCATAAACACATAGGAAGCAAGCAGGCCTCAGGTATAGATTAGGAGTCTGTGACCTCATTTGGGTTAGGGTGTACATCCCCCCTCTAGTAATGGTGCACCAGCCAGCCTGATTCCTTTCCCTGTGTACACTATTCACACATACCCCTCTTCAAACAAGGCACCTAGCTCCTCAGACCCTCCTGTTGCACTCCTGCACTGGCTATATGTAGACTCCACTCTGAATAAGACTGTAAGTATCCTCACCCTAGATGACAGGTTCTATGCAAGTCTATTGCCCAGGTAGGCATCCCATAGAATAGAAATGGTCTGGCCTTAAGTTGATTTCAGGGCATGCACAGTGCTGTCAGGCAAACTTTGTTCTTCAAGTGAATTTTCATGAAGAATACCCATAGCTTGGCATTTTATGCCTATGCACAGTGAAGCATGCATATGATTAAAATCAGATGCACTCCTGTGTGAGAAAGGGCATTTGGGAAATTCAATGTATGCCTCAATCTACCCTTCAGAGTAGA